CTACTAAGGAAGATCAAAGAAGAAAGTGCTGAGGCAGGCTTAATGTTGAACATAAAGAAAATAAAAATAATGACCACTGAAGACCTTCACAAGTTCAACCTAGACAATGAAGAAATAGAAACAGTAAAATTATTCTTGTACTGGGATCAAACATAATAGAAATGGGGACTGCAGTCAGGAAATCAGAAGAAGATTAAGAATGGAGAGGGCAGCCATGAAGGAATTAGAAAAGATTCTAAAATGCAAAGATGTACAATTGAGCACAAAAGTTAGAATCCTACAAGCCCTATTACCATGTATGGATGTGAGAGCTGGACAGTCAAGAAAGAAGATAGGAAGAAAATCAATTCATTTCAGATAATGTAGTGCTAGAGAAGAATGCTGAAGATACCATGGACAGCTAAAAGGGCAAACAAATGGGTCCTAGAGCAGATCAAGCCGGATACCTCCCTGGAAGCCAAGATGACCAAATTGAGGCTGTCATACCTTGGACACATTTTGAGAAGGGAGGACTCTTTGGAAAAGACAATAATGCTGGAAAAGGTGGAGGGAAGTAGGAAGAGAGGAAGGCACATGCAGATGGATGGACTCTATTATTAAGGAGGTCATGGGTATGGGGTTACAGGAACTAAGCAGAGCAGAGGAGGACAGAAAGTCTTGGAGATGTCTTATAGGGTTGCTATGAGTTGATAGATTCGAGGGTAGTTAACAACAAAACAATTTAAAGCAATTTGGAATTTAAAGATTTTTTTTAAAAAAAAGATACTAAAAACATTCTAAACAATTTAACAAAAGGTTAAAATCAGCTGGGCCTCAAAAGGCTTCAATAAAAATCACGTTTTAGCTTGACACGAGAATGAAATCAACATTGACACCAGCTGGGCCAGCAAGGGGAGTGTCTTTCACAAATGAGGTGCCACAGCAGAGAAGGTCCTCTCCCATGACTTTGCACAGTGTATTCTTCCTACTAGTAGGAGACATAGGAGGACTTCTCCAGAAGATTTCAGTCCTTGGGCATGTTTATATAGGGAGGATTGTTCCTTCAAGGATCAAGTTTCCAAGCCTTTTAGGGATCTGAATGTCATCTTGACCAGCACCTGAAAATATATTGGCAAACAGTGCAGTTCTTATCAGATTGGTGTTGTGTGAGTTCTTCATGGTACTCTGATCAGGAATCTCACCGCTATATTTTGCATTTGAGGAAGTAGACTGAAGTTTACGAAAGCTCATGCTGCTAATTTCTTTCTTTCAGTTAGTCTCAAAGGGGCTACATTAAAATCTCTCTATATTTTGCGTTAGCTGTAGCTTCTGAGTCATCTTCACCTGCCTGTGGAAAGCTCACCAGGTGGACTTGAGTGCAAGTCAACTCTGTTATCTCCTACTCTCCAACAACTGATATACAGAGGCATATTGCTGACATGAGAGATGATAAATAGCTTCATGAATAGTAGCCACTATTCAGCCTCAATGAATTGATTTAGGGCCTTTACAGACTGCCAGAAATAATGCAGCTTGAGGCCACTGGCTCAGTGCTAGGGAATCATGGGAATTGTATTTTTTTCTGGGACACTGAGCTTTCTCTGTCAGAGAGCTGTGGTGACACAATAAACTACAGTTCCCATGATTCCTTAACACTGAGCCAAGATAGTTAAAGTGGCCTCAAGCTGCATTCTTTCTGGCAGTCTGTAAAGGCCCTAAGTCACCTTTTAAAGCTGTCCAAGTTGGCAGCCATCTTCACACTATGTGTCACTGTATTCCACAGTTTAGCAATGTGCTTTGTGGAGAAGTGTTTCCTTTTATTTGTCCCAAATTTCCTTCAAAAGTATATATTCAAAATATGAGGTTTCTTCAGGCTCAGCACAGACACAAGAACTGGCAGTGGAGAAGAATTTGTTCTGCTCTGAGAAACGTTGTCTGCCAGAATCACTTGGAACACCCTAGTGAAGAGACGAGACCAAGAAAACTTGGCTTGGATGAAAAGGGCAAGAATTTGAAGAACGGCCAAGATTCAGCGTTTCGCTTTCTAGAAGAGTCGTTGATAAAGCAATACAGACCCCTCTTCTCTGGCTTAAGGGAGCACCCAGCAGCCTATTTATTTCTGGATGTCTGCCCTATGCTTTTTTGTTTAGAAAACTTGCAGTCCTTACGACTTTGCACACATTTTGCACTCTTCTTCTCTTCACGCTGTGAAGCAAACAGTATGGGCGAGACTTTTGCCCTGCAGCATTGCAGGCAGAGTCGAAGGCCATTTGTTCTAGTAGGCTGTAGAGAAGACTAACTACAGAGCCAGCACTGTCTCTTACGCAAGGCCACAGGGAGTCATATCCAAAAGCTATCATTCTCAGTGGATTTTGGAGAGAAGCCTGAACCATCCCTTTGTCATAAAGGGAAAAACAGACATTCATTCAAGTTTTTTTTTTTTTAAAGGGTTGGAGTGAGGTTCAGATATATTTGGAAGCCCTTTCTCATAATTTCTGCTATATGACTGGGGCCTGTCTTTAGTTACTTAGTAGAGAGAGAAATGCACTCTGCATGTACCCAAAGGGCCTCTGTATTCTGTCATGACTTCATGCATTATAGAGTGTATTCTTGCCATTTGCTTTCCTGGAGTGAAAGACAAGAGGGTGCCACATCCTGTAGAGCAGCTGGGTGGACTAGCAGTTGAATCTTACATGAACAATAATGATGGGACAGCATCCTTCACTTCTTCTGAGACAAACGACCAATTTAGAGGATCCAGGAAAGGTTGCATGGCGAACACAGCTTTACCTCCAAGCTGGGAAGCTGCCATGTTTGTCCCCTAGTATCTGTTTCCTGAAGAAGTCACTTCACTCTACCTAAACTGCTGCAGCATTAGTGATCACTCTTTTTCATTAAGACCTCGTGTGATCTCTAACTTGCCTTAGCATGGTCTTGACTCTTCCCTCTCTCAGAGCAGGTAATGAACTTTGATTCCAAAGGTGTGAGAAAATGGAGGCAGAAAAAGATCTTTTGTAGCTGCATCAATAGAAGTATAGTGTCTGGATCAAAGGAAATGATAATACCTTTCCATTCTGCTTTGGTCAGACCTCACCTGGAATTTTGTTCCCAGTTGTGGGCACAGAATTCAAGAAGGATGTGGTCAAGCTGGAGCATGTCCAGAAGAGGGCAACCAAAATGGTGAAAGGTCTGGAAACCATGCCCTATGAGGAGTGGCTTAGCCTGGAGAAGAGAAGGTTAAGGGGTGATATGATAGTTCCCTGTTTAAATATTTGAAGGGATGTCATATTGAGGATGGAGCAAGCTTATTTTCTGCTGCTCCAGGGACTAGGACCTGGAACAATGGATTCAAGTTACAGGAAAAGAGATTCCATCTCAACATTAGGAAGAACCTCCTGACAGTAAGAGCTGTTTGGCAGTTGAAGAATATGCAACCTGGTAGTATGGTGGGACCTCTTTCTTTGGAAGTTTCTAAAGAGAAGCTGAATGGCTATCTGTTGAGAGTGCTTTGATTGTGTATTCCTGCATGGCAAGGGGCAGACTGGATGGCCCTTGGGGTCTTTTCCAAGTCTATGATTTTATGATTCTGTGGTTGTGCCATGGCACAGTTGTTTCTTGCAGTGAGAACTTTGAAGAAAGATCTTGGAGAGAGACAGGTTTTGGAAAATGCATTGGTTGTCCCACAGCTTGGAGAAGTTCCTTTCTTGCTGGAGGATTCTGGGAGTTGGAGTAAAAGAAAGAGACTTTTCTAAACTCTGGGTCATCTTTCTCCTAAATCCCCAGTAGCTCTTTGGAAATAAGATTGGTGGAAAGTGATGACTTTTCTTCTTGCCTCCAAAGGGTTGGGCTTTATATCCCATGACTGAAACCAAAGTGGGGTAAATATTGACACAGCGATAACATTGTCGTTGTAACAAACACCTGCAGCTCCCTCCCTCATGTCATGGACTCATTCCACAGAAATAGATACGATAAGATTTTATTGCATCTTTCTTTTTTCTTTCTTGCATAAAAACTGTGAACTGCATGTTCAGGGCTTTCTTTTATTATTTTATTTATTATTTATTATTTTAAATATCAGTATGCTGCTCAGTGGGACAATTGTATTATCTTTGCAGTGAATGCACAAAGCTGACCTCTAGTTTGCAAGAGTGAATATTTGGGGCTTGTCGCACATCTCTTACTCTTCTGTCATCTGGGATAAAAAAACAGCACTTTCATGGAATTGAAATTGCTTTCCTTGGTAATTTGTTTTCTTTGAAATAATTCAAAAGATGAAAATGAGATTTAGTATTGTGTTCATTTGGAGGCTGGGGCAGAGGATCCAAATCTGGTGACCCAGATCTATATTGGATATTTAAAATGGCACACAGTATAATGAAATTTAAAGGGGAGAAGCAAGGATGGCATGTGGAACCCTTCTCTCTGGTGTCACTTCTCTTCTTTCCTCACCTGCTTTTGTTCAGGTGGCATTCCCAGATGATGTTGGATAAGAATTTCCTTCAGTTTGTTTTATAAGAATGTATCAAAAGCTGCTCATTTCTATACCTTAGGGATGGGAAAAAACTTCTTAAGAATATCAAGTGTGGGGAGAAACTGAACTGCCTGAGGCTCAGGATTTTGAGAACTTCTTGCTAAAAGGTCTGTTTTGCAATCTTTTTGTATTTAGTACTAATACTAGTGCATAACTAGTATTGCCACCATTTTTTCCAGAAAAAAAAGTGGTGTGTGTGTGTGTAGTAGGCAGCTACAGTGTCATGCTTTTATTGATAAGAATAGAACTTGGAACTTTGGTTTAAAAATAATTGCTGTATTCTGTAACTGAACCAGTGTAGTGTAGTGCTTTGAGTGTTGGACTACGACTCTAGAGACTAGAGTTCATGTCCCCATTTGAGCATAAAAACCCACTGGGTGACTTTGGCCAAGTCACACTCTCTCAGCTTCAGAGGATGGCAATGGCAAGCCCTCTGTGAAGAAACTTGCCAAGGAAACCCTATGATAGCATTGCCTTAGGGTTACAAGACCCAGTGTATTGTAGTGGTTTGAGTGTTGGAGTAGCATTCTGGAGACCAGGGTTCAAATCCCCACTGGGTCATGGAAGCCCACTAGATGACATTAGACAAGTCACATTTTCTCTCAGCCTTAGAGGAAGGTAGTGACAACCCCCCTCTAAAAACCCATGATAGTTTCACCTTAGGGCAGACCTACAGAACTTGCTAGTAGATAGGGACCAAAATTAAAATAGGCTAAATTTCTTCGGGCCACAGATAGGTTGTTAACCTGCCTTGATCTGCAGGGAGAGGCGGGTTATAAATTATTTTATTATTATTTTATTAATATTATTAGCTGTTTCCAAGTAAAGGAATAATTAAACTATTGTAACCATTAATTATTACTTATTAATAATTAATAAATATTAATTCTATTAATATTAATTATTTTCTCCTCCTTATCCTCTGCCTGGCCCTATCCTGGAGAGATGGCTGATCGGCAGAAGAGCCTTGAGGGGTGACTGTTCACCTGTCCTCCTCCTCCGTCGCCTGGTTCTTTCCTGGAAGAAAGATGGGTGGCAAAGGAGTCTTGAAGTTGCTCCACACCTTGAGGGCTGCCCAAAATCTTTTGGCGGGCTGCATGCGGCCCCCAGGCCATATGTGGTGCAGGCTTACTGCAGGAATATTTGGTATCTATATTAAATAGAGTGTAATACAAGCTTGTGGTAGAAAACAGGAGAAAGGATGATTTTGTTAAGGCAAAAGAAAAAAGAAAAGAAAAAGAAAGAGTGGAAAGGTTAAAAAAGAAAAATGTACATTTATTGTTTCAGGATGTCCATGCTGGGTAGGAAAGGAGGTAGACAAAAGAAGATTACCTAAGCTTCAATACAAGAGCCCCTAAGGCTAGCTCTTATATGTGATATTGGCTAGCGTCCATCCAGAGGTGGGAGGCTGATGAATGCTCCCTTCACAGTCAAAGGGAGACAAAGCACTCCCTTTGGGAGAATGGGGAAGGAAAGAACCAAAAAGCTTGAGTACATTGATCAAAGAAAGAAATAGAGAGGTGAAACAAATGAGCAGGTATCCCCTCTCTCACTAATCATTTTACAAAAGTTGATGCATCTTTGCATCTAACAGCCACAAGTCAGAAACAACATGAGGGCATTCAACAACAGCAAAAGAACTCATTAAAGACTTCCTTTCTCCTTTTCCCCCCCAAGTCATGGTGTGTAGTAGCTTCTAGACACTATCTTGGATTTGTCCATCCCCCCCTGCTTTGGAATTTGAGTAATTCCAGGAAGAGATGGAGGGACTGTTGGATGGCCCACAGATATTGAGAGAGGTGGAAAGAATTCCACAGATTCAAGGAGCATGAATGCTTCTATGATTCCATTCCAGCAAATGCTGTATACTGTTTGGATTGATTCTCTGGCTTGATTTTGGGTTCTCAAAATAATGTTGGAAAGGATTGCAAAATAATATCATTAACATACTGAGGACAGATGGAGCATTTGAAAAGAAATTATAATTGATTCTTCACTGGTAAAATAAACCCAATATCTCAGGGCTTTTATTAAATGTTTATGAAAAGAATGCCTTTTGTTGAGACCTCAAAGACCCCAGATTATCAACTACCATGCTCAGACCTAGCAGACTCAGGGTCATGGTTTCCTTGGTTGGCTCAATGGACCTTTAGTGCATTCTCCCTTTTTTCCTGCTGCCTTCCACTTAACCAAGTATTATGGTCTTTTTCCACCAAATCACATCATCTCCTGATATGTCCAAAGTGTGGTAGCCTCAGAGTTGTCATATTTGCTTCTAGTGAGAGTTCAGGCTTGATTTGCTGTAAGACCCATCGATTATTCTTTTTAGTAGTCCATGATATCCACAGAACTATTCTCCAGTAGCTCATCTGGAATGAGTTTGTTTTCTTCCATAGTTCTTTTCACTGTCTAGCTCTCAAATTTCATTTGGAAGTACCCTAAGACAAATTCACACATTACATTTATTCATTTAATGTGAAATCAAAGGTTTTCATGGCTGGCATCCATAGTTTTGTGTGTGTGTGTGTGTGTGTGTGTGTGTGTGTGTGTGTTTCAGGCTATGTGACTGTGTTCTGGAAGAGTTTATTCCTGATGTTTTGCAAGTATCTGTGGCTGGCATCTTCAAAGAATGTAGTACTTGTACTTCACTCATAGATCCACTTGTCCTTATTTATTTATTTATTTATTTATTTATTTAGTGTGTACCTTCAAGTCTTTTCTGACTTAGAGTGACCCTAAGGGGAACCTATCATGGGACAAGATAGGTTTTTTCCCCTTTGCCTTCCTCTAAGTTGAAGAAAGTATGGGTTTCCAGGGCTGAGTAAGCTATGTCTCCAAACATAGTCCAGCACTCAAACCACTATACCACACACTGGCTCTCATATTTATTTACTTTCTTATAAAAAACAAAAAAATATTTTATTACAGTTGCCAGACTGGGAGCCAGAGGTCCTTGTGGCCCATTATGGCATTAGCCACCTAGCACCATCCTAAGCTATCTTGTGCTGTAAACTGCAGACATTGTTGGTTTCTTTTAATTGTCAGAGCTCATAGTTGTCATATTTGCTTCTAGCAAATATCCACCTGACCTCCCTAACTGATTAGATATGACCATCTTATAAGGACCTCCCGGGTGAAAAAAAAAATTATATCTCTCGCGGCATAGATTTGTATTGCAATTTTATTATTGTTTTAATCATTGCTGTTATTTTATT